TGGTGGATATGTTTATGATTTTGCATGTTTGGTATCTTGGGTGGCCACAAGTTTTGGTTTTAACTGCTGATTGTATATTATATTTGTTTGTTTGACGGCAAGTTCAGCTAGAGTGTTGTTGTTTTATACGTCGGAGAAAGTGTTTGGGGTATCCCCTTTCTCTTATGATAAATACCAGCGTACATGCTGACTCAAAGTCGGTCTTCTAAGTGCATAGCCTATGAACACGGAGAATCTGAAATTTTATGATGCCAGAGAACGTATGTTTTCGGTGAAAGGAGGTTTTGAACAATAATTGATGTTTATCGGTTTCTTTGAAAAATACTTTAGTTTCAAATTGGCTTGTGTTTTTGGTGTTGGGTTCGTATTCCCCAAAATACTCATTTATATAAAGCGGTCATTGTAGACTCCGGAAATTCCCGAACTTCCCCAACCAGCCTATAATTAGCATCTCTCGGTGTCAATAGACGAGAAAATGCACTTCCGTGTAGTGATTCACATCGATTGACAGATATCTAATTATAGTCTCTATCTTCTAGACAGATATTCTACGAGAGGTTTTAATTATTTTTTTTTCATTGGTCTTCATAATTTTCATGTGTTCGAGACCGGAGCAAGGGGAACATTGTGGGCGTATATCACTATTTTCAGTAATCAATATTATATCATTGTCAAACAGATCAGCTTTTACAAAACACGGTGCGCAAACTTGGTGCTTTGAATGCTTTTCTGTTTTATAAAGGGGGCTGCATGGCCGAATGGTTAGCTGTATCATGAGGTCTGTCATTGAGTCAACTGGCGTGGTTTCGAATCGCCGGTTGTACGCGACAAGGAGTAGGGTCGCCTGTCCAACCTCGTGAGTTTTCTCCGGGTCCTCCGGTTTCCACTCACTGCTAAAGACCCCTACGCGCAAGCGAATTATAGAAATAAAAAATTGAGCCATGTGTTAGTCCCAAAATGACCTAATTTGTGTCGAGTGGACGTTAAACCCCACCTCTCTCTCTCTCTCTCTCTCTCGCCCTCTCTCTCTCTCTCTCTCTGTTTTTATATAGTTCATATAAAGTTCTTATAAAATGTTTTTATAAAGTTAATTTTAAATGTTCTTTTTCTTATAAAATGTTCTTATAAAATTCTTATAAATTGTTCTTATAAAATGCAACATGTATTTTTAGTTTTAAAAATTAGGTTCGACAAGTTGATTATAACATTTGACAAATATAATGCCGTATTAAGAATTGACAAAGTATAGTTATAGTTTAGCGCCATTCGATGTACACTTTCGTTTCAATAATTCGCTTTCCAGTGGGGAGAAACTGGAGGACCCGTAGAAAACCCACGAAGGTTGGCGGGCGACCTTAGTTCTTGTCACGTACAACCTTGGAATCGAAACTACGCCACTTGACTCGATGATCTAATGTTCACTTGTCCACCCCGGCACCGCATTCCATCTCTGTTTTATAAATCTATCATAAGGTCAATCGAGATTCGCGATACAGAAGTATTATTTATTAGGTTAATAATTATGACACTTTAAACATAATAATTTTTGTTCTGTTCCGTATCTATAATCCGTTGTTTTTTTTCTTCGCCTTAAGTCATTTTTATTTTTTCTACGATAGTTCAAACGTGAATTTTCGTCGTATACGTTACTTTCCTTACTGATGTTTGTTTACCTCCCAGCCCCCCCCCCCTCCAATTCCCTATTGCGAGAGAGAAAGGGGGAGGGGGCGGGTAGTTTAACGTCCTACTGTCCTGCTGTGACTGGGCTAATGAAGACGGGCATGTTCGCCATACAGTGTGCTACGAGCAAAATTTTGCCTGGACATCGACTTCCAACAGTCAAGAGAATTTTTACTTACAGGGAGTGGCGTTGGCTAAGTGGGTTAGACGCTGGCTCGCTAGTCTGGAGGTCGGGTGTTCGATCCCTGCATTCGCCGAGAAAGTTCATCGGGATTTTCCGTCGTGGTTTCCCCTTTTGTCCGTGATGCAGGACGGTGGGTCTGACAAGGACAGCTGTCTAGTCGTTCGAATGGGACGAGAAACCGATGTACCTTGTATACATTGGCATACACTTAAAATATCTCTTGGCAGTTGGAATTCGATATAAGAGTAGGCCATAGTGTCGCTGCCAGGGTAAAATTTCCCTCATAGTCCACTTTATGGTGTATGTCCGTCTTCATTAGCCCAGTCGGAACAGAACAGTAGGACGTTAACGTTAAATCTCATTTCATATCATTTTTATATACGCGGGGGTGGGGTGGGGGTAAGACCTAACAGGTGCGTTTTGAAGCAAAATATATACCCTGAAAATTTGTTTATGCTAGTTGATTACAATATGTTGACAAACTGATAGACCGAAATCGGTGATTGCTATTTGCCTGTGGCCAAACTTCCTGTTGTCACCGAAATAATAGTTCATGACCGGTATCAGTCGTTCAACCGGAATCAGCCGTTCATGACTAACTAACGGGAACGTCCGGGTACGATCCCGGTATAGGCCGAGAACGTTCGCCGGAATAGGCCGAGAACGTTCCCCGGAATTTTTGAGCGTGATTTATCCTTGCCAGTGTTACAGGGCGGTAGGTCCTGACAAAGAACATCGCTTTGTAGTTCGGGCGGGACCAAAAAGCGAGGTCCCTTATACACCTTGACATGCACGCAGCCCAAAAGAGCAAATAACAATTGGAACTCAATTGCTGTCCGGAAAAAAATTCACTCATAGCTCACTGCGTGGCGTATGTCCATCTTCATTATCCCGGTTGAAGAAGAAAATTGGGACGTTAAACCTCATTTCATTCATTCATTATCTGTTAAATACAGTGCGGATTATTTTTAGTCATTGCGCAATCACTATAGACTACCCTATAAACATGTCACACTGTCCTGTCTTATTAAGCTTAAAGGATTAACCCATTAGCGGTTAAAGTTAATACATAAGCACTTAAAGATGCATTGTGTAAGATTGAGATAAAGGGCTGTCAGTTTTTCCTAAAATAGTTTAAAAGTAGATAATGAAAAATGAATAGATTGAAAATATCAGTCAAATATTCTAGGCGAAATTATGAATGTTTGAAATTTTTACAAGTCGGTTGTCAAGTTCCATTGTTACAATAATAAACGAAGTCTCTATTTTTTTCATTTTAACGTTTAATGAAGATATGACACACATTGTCAAATCAGCTCTATAGGCTTATCTAAGGCATCCGATGGACTACAGAGTTGATTATGGGCCTGTCGTGTGAATAAAGAACCACAATAGGCCGATCTATAGGTCTTACATAATGCATCTTTAACTTTACAAACATAAATACAAATCTAAAGAAAGTAATTAATTTACTAATCACCAACAAGAGCGTACATGAGCGGTTTTCTTTTGTAAGTGAAATTGACAAAAAAAAAAACCCAAAAAAACACAACCTAGCGTGATTATCAAAGCCCTTTTTTGTCAACATTTCAGATAATATATGCATAATTTTGTGTATTTTTCATGAAGCCATTTAAATTTTAGATATGATGTCTATAATCTATAACATATTCTTTCCTTGTCGGTTACGTTTTGAAATACTTCGGGCGCTATTGACAAAAGAAACGCTCTTGTCGGTGATTAGATAGGGGCCCATTTGAAACGATAAATTACTTTTAATTTCACGTCTCGTTTCTCCGGTCTGTGCAGAATCGCGGGGCGCTAAAACCCAGTCGAAACTGTCAAAGTTTTGGGCAAATCGTCAAACCAAGTGCCAAAATCAAGGCGAATCTATAATGACAACAAAACGATCACGACCTATATTACTACGAATCTGTCACCGGACATCCCTGCAAGTTCTCTTCTTCATATATAATTAACTATACTTAAGATTTAATATTTAAGACACCTAAATTAATTTGGTGCTTTAGACGTGTCTACGTCTTTCAGACATCGGGTAAACGGTGATATGTTTTTGTTTGTCAATTGAATATAGACAATACAATGTCCATTAAAGATGGGTTCCCGCGTACAAACTGGGTGATTTAATGGTAAATATGGACTAAAAACATAATCAAACTAATTAATTTGTCATAATTATGCTTCAAATCCTTCTCAAACATTGTAATTTCGAAGGAAAGCCCTGCTATTAAAATTCGATCAAACCAGGTCATGTTTACGTCAGGTCTTATTATAGAAATCAGAGGAGAATTCATTGCATACATAAGACGATGTTGTCTTTAATCGCTTACTATTTATTACAAATATCGAATCCTAATTATCCACTAACCGCGTCTTTTTTATCTCAGAAAGTGTTGTACGTCTAACACTTCATAAAGTTTATCAACTTGTACATCAAGCGCTCAATGTTCGCGTGTGACCTTTGACATCACGCGTGCAGAAATTCTTAATCGTCGGGCTGTTGATTAGGGGAACCCTTACATTTTTGTCCTGTAAACTCTCCATAAGTGTTTTTCGGGGAATCCAGTATTTTTCTAGTAAGATTGGATATCTCTACTTTCTATATATACCAAAATTGCCATACTTTTATTGGAAATAACCACCCGATAAATACTTTTCTGGGAACCCATCTTTAAGTTTCTATATTGATATTTAAACTTCCTTCTTTATTTTTGAGCGTTTCAATTAGCCTACGACGCTACGGAACGCAATTTAATTGATAGATACGATGGTTTAATTTGTGATTCGGTCGCTATTTAATCTGAATGATATAATATAATCTGTGCAAATTGCGCGTTTATAAATAAAAAGTTGTAAATTGGAACGTGAATGAAAATTATTGATCAGTCTCGTGACTTTTACGTCATAATTTTGCGTATTAAGACAATAATCCCCAAAGGTATTATAGATTAGCTTGGGCCATGGTTGGTTATTGTAGATAATGTACGTGTTGTTTTAACCATTTGTGTATAGGGATAATTAGAAACGCAAACATTACTAATGGATGAGATAATCTGGGACTATTTTTCTTCGCGACTTCATCTGGGTGTTCACTTGTATATAAATGACGTAGTACTTCTATTCGTCCCTCGAGGACGTGGTAACTGCTCCGACTGCACGTGTTTGTGAGATATAGCTTCTCACAGCACGATTTTCAATCATTTGTTTAAAAAAAATATATAAAAAAAGTATAAAATAGTGAAAAAATTACAAAAAAATCAGCAAAACTCTAAAAAATTACAAAAAATTGTTGGTTGAAACGGCAGCAGACGAGGGAAACCTAAAGAACAGATCGAAAGAACATCAAGAAATTGAAGAAATCAGCCATACTTGACGTGTAAAGAAGTTTATTTTGTGAATTCGCAACAACCTAGATCGTAAAGATGAATCCAGCAGGACCTAACTACCCTATGGCTACACTGTACGTCGGTGATTTACATCCAGATGTTTCCGAGTCCATGTTATTTTCCAAGTTTTCAACAGCAGGGCCAGTGGCATCCATTCGTGTGTGTCGAGATATGATCACGAGGCGATCATTAGGTTACGCATACGTTAACTTCTCTCAACCCGCTGATGGTAAGTGAAGATTTAATTTTTGTGGGCATTCACAGATTAATAACTGTAGATGATGAAAATCATCTTTATTTATATTAAGAGATGTTTACTTCCATTGCATTTTATTGAAAATGTCAACGATGGTACGAAAACCAAATCCAATATGGCGGATCTATTTCGTCATAATGAATAAGAATCCCCCAAAATGGAAAACACGTGTTTTGTGTTTTATCACTAGATTATATGCTTAATCTCTTGTCTGTATGATGGTTCCAAAGATATTATTCAATGTGGTGAAATTAATGTTGAAAGGCGGAACATTAATAAGAAAATTCCAGATTTTCCTGTCCAATGATCCCCCCCCCCCATCCACAACTCCTCACTACGTAACGTAGTATGTATGTTGATAGTTGTATTCGGTTTAAAATTGAGATTGATCCCGACATTTAATAAGAAAAATTGGCAACATTTTTCGTGATTCGTGATATCAAAACGATCGATTTCTGCCACATCCAACTAGAATTAAGCATATAGCCATATAATCCTACCTGGTATAAATCATTGTTTTCAAAATCGAGGCCTTAATAAGCCGTTATTAGGAACGCCATTTTTAAACGGGTGAAGTATTGTGGCCATATGTATACCTCCATGATGGCGGTGTATGTCGGATAAATAGGCTTCATTAATTAAAACACAATAGTTGTGCCCCTATATTGGTCTCTGTTAGTTTAATTAATAGTATAAATTATCTTATTTTCATGATGTTTTACGTGAGTTTGCCACTTAGAACTAAAGTCACCAAATCGTAGCCAAAAACAAGCACAGCAATATCTCAAAAGTTTTTAGCTATGTTCTCGTAGCTATTGGCGCACGTGCAGGGGTCTTTCCTATTGCACGTAAATGTACTACCTGGAGTAACCCATGAGGTTGAGAATTGAGAAGACGTCCCTCTCTCAAGCCACATACACCCACACCAGACATGACCGCTGCAAGCCAGAGGTGACTGTCCAGGTAGAGCTTGATGCACGACACTACACCACTAAGCCATCCCAACCCATTAATGTAATTTAAATTATCTGCAATTCAGTTTCGATTTTAAGTTGATTATTGTATTTACATTGAAATTAATGACATCATTTTAATATTTTCAGCGGAGAGAGCACTGGATACCATGAATTTTGACACCATCAAAGGAAGACCAATACGTATCATGTGGTCTCAAAGAGATCCCTCTCAACGAAAATCTGGAGTTGGAAACGTTTTCATTAAGAATCTGGATAAGAGTATTGATAACAAAGCTCTGTACGATACATTTTCTGCTTTTGGTAACATCCTTTCTTGTAAGGTGAGCTCCCAAACCTATCATTTTAATTTATCTAATGGATGACGAATTTCGTGTTATCATTATCTGATTAAAACACATATCCCATTTCTTTTCGTTTTATAGTTCAAAATTTCGTTTAACTTGTCTTTACTACACTAGGATCTGGAATAGTTGTTTTATTATCCACGTTTTGAAGTCCGGGATAAGCCAATTTAACGGTCTGTTACGGCGACTTCTTGGCATGCCATGCACAGAACTGTGAGTAAACCACTAGAAACGCCGACGCTGATTGATTAATTAATGTCTGATGTCATAGGGTCGAAAGCCGCTCGTACAACCCCTGACACGACCTTATAGTACAACTTGTCAGATCTTCATGTAGTGTAGGCCGTCGAAAGTATAAAAAACGAAATACAGATCTAGGTATTCTAATCAGATTGATGTTATCAGTGCTGAATGAAGTGATCAGAAACTCAGATTTGGTGAGCCTTGTCATCGATCAAAACCTGATTTAATGATATAGAACGAGTCGAGGGTCTGTTACATGTAGGCCTGTAAGAAAAGAATGAAATTAAATTAGGTTTAATATCCATGCACCAACAGGGCTAATTAAGACAAGTGCAATGTATATGACATGCATTGTGCTATGAGCCATATTGTCTAGACTGAGTGATGTTCCCACCTACTATATTTCTAATTACCAACGGTTCTTTTTATGTACACTGGACATTGGCCGAGAAAGTTCTTCCAGATTTTCCGGCGTGGTTTCCCCTTGTCAGTGATGCAGGATAGAGGGGCTGACAAGACTAGACTGCTGTCTAGTTGTTCAGATTGTACGAAAAAGCGAGGTCCTGTGTACACATTGGCGTGCACATAAAAGATCCCTTGACAGTTGGAATTTGATATAAGAGTAGGCCGTAGCGCCGCTGCCTGGGCAAAATTTCCCTCATAGCACACTGTATGGCATATGTCCGTCTTCATTAGCCCAGTTCGGAGCAGAACAGTAGGACGTTATACCCCATTTCATTTCTAGTTAACGAGCGTAATACTCACTGAACCACTAAGCATTTTCATTCAACACTGACGTCAAACCCATGTCTTTGGTCATCTGCTTATTGCACACCATGTCTACATTCGTAAAGATCATGCCCGCCAATATTTACTTATGCCATATGGCCTGAACTGCCTCTCAATTTTGTTTTGATTTTATATAATAAAAAAATATGAATAATTTTGATTTTCTTCAGATTGCCGCTGACGAACAAGGCTCCAAAGGTTATGGTTTTGTTCATTTTGAAACCGAAGAAGCAGCTAAACAGGCTATTGAGAAAGTCAATGGTATGTTGTTAAACGGTAAGAAAGTGTATGTAGGAAAATTCATCCCCCGACGGGAGCGTTTAGCAATGATGGGTGATAAAGCTAAAAAATACAACAACGTATACATCAAAAACTTTGGTGAGGAATATGATGATGACAAACTGAAAGTAGAGATGGAAAAATTCGGAAAGGTCATCAGTGCAAAGGTAAAATATGTTTTTAATAGCAGTTGGATGTTATAGTTCAGTGTTTGTGCCTTGTAATTGAAACTATTTTTCATGACCTTGAGTACCATAAACTCATTCTGATATTTTTGAAAATCATTTTCAATTGAAATTCGGAACCATATATTTTTGGGGCCCGTTATTTTATTTTTTTACCATTTTAATATTTTTATAGGTGATGACAGATAACCAGAATCTATCAAGAGGCTTCGGTTTTGTCAGTTTTGAAGATCCAGAAACTGCTGAAAAGGTAAATTAGATTACATATATCTGTCGGTATTGATATGTATGCCTGCTGGGGAGGTTGGATGGCCGAATGGTTAGCACGTGCATGCTGTATCATAGTCTGGCATTGAGTCAACTAGCCTGGTTTCAAATCCCCGGTTGTACGTGACAATGAGAAGGGTTGCCTGTCCAACCTCGTTGGTTTACTCCGGGTCCTCCGGTTTCCTCCCACTGCTAAAGCCCCCACGCGCAAGCAAATTATAGAAATAAAATTGAACTATGTGTTAGTTCCGAAATGAGCTAGTTTGTGTTTAGTGGACGTTAACTGTCAAAATGTCAAAACAGGAAGTTTACAAGCAAGTGAAAGTCGCCTGTTTATAAGAAGTAACTCCTTTCATTTCTAACGGGTTTTGTCATTAAAAGTTGTCGGAGGTAATGTTATAGGTGTCGACAAAAGCCGACTTTAGTCAGCTAAGAGTTAAAAAAAAAAAAAAAAATTATTGGCAGATAAATCAGTAATTGTATCTGATGGCTGGTGAGACATTTTCCACGTTTCGTAAGTTTGTCATTTCTGGTCTCGCTTTCAAAATTCTCCGCCTGGGTTTCTCCTTGTCAGTGGTGCAGAAAAGAGAGCCTGACAAGGACAGCTATCTAGTCGTTTTGATGGGACAACAACCAAGGCCCTGTGTACTGTGTACACATTGGAGTGCACGTGAAATATCCCTTGGCAGTTTGAATTCGATAGTGCCGCTGCCCTGACAAAATTTCCCTCATAGCACACTGTATGATAGCAGAACAGTAGGATGTTAAATACCATTTCATTTAATTTCTAATAGGTGTCACAGCTCCATTGCCCGTGTGGAAGAGTAATTTTTTCCTGATTTGTAACCCTTTTTCAACTTAACGTCATACGGTGGCTATTTAATATTTTGTAATTTTAAAATATTTTGGAAGCCGATATCCTGTTCTTTTGTTTGATATAATTTTTATATATGTGTTCATTTTATTAATTTCATAAACGTAAGTTGAAAAACGTTAATTTCCCGTGTTTTGACGTTACGCTGAAAAATTTTGTCACGTTTTTAAACGAGGGTACCCCACTTCAAGTACTTGGCGGGCGCACTTATTATTAATATTATTTTTTCATTCTAATATCATTAGAAAGATAAATGAACGATCTTTCAATTGGTCGGGGGTGCTTTGTTGGCATTTCGAAATACCATGCATTTTTTGCAAGTTGAACGCTTCAATTCACGCAATCTTTTTTTTAGGCGATTTGTCAATATAGCACCCCCGACCGATTGAAAGTTCGTTTTATTGTCGTTTTGATGCTATTAAAATCAACAAAATCGGAGCATGGCAAGTGCGCCCGCCAAGCAATTGAAAATGGTATACAATGAGAAATTTTGTCAAAAATAAATCGCGTAGTTTAGCCTTGTTATGACGTCATTTCAACACCAAAACTAAAATGTATTCCATGTTCCTTAGACTCATATTCGCGGTAAATTACGTCGAAAGGCAACTCCGATGTTTATTTATGAAGTAAGCGTTATGTTATATGAATAAAGGACTTACCTGAAAATAAATAAGGATAGTTAATTCCATTTTTTTCACGCCTTTTGGCTTTGCTGGGTTGACTGTGTTTACATCACGTGACTCATATTCGCGCGCTTTTATAACCATGTGACAGGATATAAATATAAAATCGAATGGAAATTTCCTATCGGCGACCACACGTCTTTACTTTTAACACCAAACATTTTTCAAGAATTGAACAATTCCGTAAAATTGACGAATGTTTCAATGCTCTGAAATCATAAATTCGCTGTTCACTGAATTATTCAAGCCCAATTTTAAAGCATTTCTGTGCACACGAATGGAAATGAAACCGGAAAACATCCACACGGGTCTTGGTACTGACAGCAGGCAAGAGGAAGATAGTATAGGTACTACTGATAATTAGTACATCGATTTCTATCCACTTAAACGGATATTATACCCAAATATATAAAGTTGGACCAACTAGCTGAAATAATTTGAAAAATGACTCAATTTCTGGATTTGCCGTTGGCGATTTGCAACATTTCGTTTGAGATGATGGAACCGGCATAGATTATGAATTAGGTCAGTCATGTCAATACTAATTACTATCATCACTCAGTATTGATACGGATACCCAATTTTCGCAAAACGTTTTAGTTTTTACTAAATAATTTAGCATTATATAACAGTTGTCATACTAATTATTATGATTTTAATTCTTTTTTTTAGGAAAATATATTTAACACCTCGAGTATCACATATTTGTTGGCCAGTTAAACAATTGAATAAACGGACAAACCTAAGGCCTTAATTGGGCCTTGATTCGATATTTGTTTACATTGATTAAAATATACAAAAAAGGAAGCTGCTCAATGGGCTACATACCAATTTGAAGGAATAATATAAATATTCAAAAGTGAAGTAAAAACATAACAATTCTTTGAGTTAAATTGTAGCTGTTAGGCCTAGGCCTTTATAAACATGACTAGGCCTACCATAGCCTATCAGTAACTGAGTAACCTACTTTTACTCTTTAGTCTTTAGAGAATAATTTTTTATTGGTCAATGTTATCTTCTGAGTAGAAAATAATATGTAAAAGCAGAATTCTAACAATAATGTAAGCAAGGAATGCTGAGAACAATGATAATGCAACAAGAGTTGTCCGTTTTTTAAAATTATGTGGTTGCTATGACAACCATCCAAAATCCTTAATAATTCACTAAAATTATATAATTCTTAATATTTTGTATTACATGGGCTATAAATATATGCTAAAAAGCTTTCTGCTACTGTACTTAAAATGTGGCGATCAATTGGTTTGTCATGGTAAACATCATTGAAAATGGAATAACATTGCCTTTTTTGGGGTGTTTGTTTTCGTTTTGATTGCTATAAAAACCAAATATTAAGTAATATACAAGAGTAAAGATAAGTAATTTTAAAAATTCACAAACATATTTACTTGTAAACAAAATTTCTCTTCAAGATCTTAATTCCTTTTATATTTTATTTATGTCTTAATAATGGCCAAAATGGACAACTAGCTACTGCAGAATGTTCTTCAAAAGGGAACCCCTTTCCAGCTCTTGGGAGAAGACATATAAATATTTTCATTTTATTTATTTTTTAAAATCTTGTCCAATAGCTTCTGTTTTTAAAATAATACAATTATCAATATTGATGTCATGATTATTGGAAAATAATGCTTTTCGGAAAAAAATAAATGTGGTTGCTATGGTAACAGCCCAAACTCCTTCATATTTTTCTCAAACTTACACAATCCATATCATTTAATATTACATGGGTTTCAAATATTTTAAACTGCTTACTTTAAAATGTGGTGATGACCTTTTGGGTTATGGTAAGTAGCGTTGAAAACGGTCAAAAATTGCATTTTTTCCATTTTGGTTGCTATGACAACCAAAATTGATAATATATGGCGGATTGGAAATAAGTGATTTTAAAAATTCACAAACTTTTTGACATATTCCCATAATTTCACATGTGTATCTCCATTCCTTCTTATTTTATTAATGTCCCAAAAACGCCCCAAAAATAGGCAATTGTGTGCCGCGGAAAATTGTTCAAAAATGAACATATATTCAGCTCTTGAGAGAAGGCATATATATATTTTTACTCTTTTTTTTTTCGTTAATCATACTTGATAGCTACTGATTTTAAAATGCATAACAACCAGGTTCAAAATTACAGATATAACATGCACAAGACCATTTTTGATGAAAAAATTGACCAAAATCGCTCTGACAAAATGGAATTTTTGAGAAAACCTATGTATTTTGCAGTTACTGTGGAAATCAGTGTAATTATTACAAAAATGTGAAAATTGAAGCATAATTAGCCTTAAAGTTGTATTTCATGAATTTACATCTTCATTTTTAATAGGTTTGATATGAAATGAAATATGGCATCACAAAAAACACCAAAAATGGCTTTTTCAAAGTGTTGAAAAACCTTTCTTCCGCGAAAAGTCAAAAATCGCAACTTTGAGCCTCAAGAAAAAAAAAAGTTTTCATCCGATTTTGAATCTGTAAAAAGTTTTGTGAGAAGAATGATGAGATCTACTTGGAAAGCTAATAAAATCAAATGTATAATCATAATCTCAAAATCACCTTTTCCACCAATTTCTAATCAATGCTAAAAATGAATTTGTTCTGAATTTTAGTGTGTAGACAATATTATGGGAACAGAGCTCAATGGCAAAACATTGTATGCTGGTCGAGCTCAAAAACGTGCTGAAAGGCAGGCTGAGCTCAAGGAGAAATTTGAGCGATTGAAGATGGAGCGAATTAATCGTTATCAAGGAGTGAACTTGTATGTTAAAAATCTGGATGACTGTATCGATGATGAACGACTGAGAAAAGAATTCTCACAATTCGGTACCATCACTAGTGCCAAGGTAAGAACAAAGTTGATGTTATTTTCAATGTTGTGAACATGCCACCACTCGCCCCGTCAATATTTTGACTGTTAAATTAAGCGACATTCTGTTGTGCAAAACACTTATTGTCCATGCTCGAATGTCAAGTCTGGAACATTCCGAATTTTCAGAATGGCAGTCTTGTCAGTTTTCATTACACACCCGATTGTCTCTTTTGGGATTCAAAGAATTGAATTCCCAGAATGTTTGAGTATCCCCAATAATTTCTTCATGACCAATTTTGGACCTGAAATGGTTAACCCCTATGAACTGTACCTATTCAATTGTGTATCATTATGAAGAATTTGTATTTATACATGTTAAAAGGATCCTGCGAATAAACAAATTTCTTTTCCAGGTGATGGGAGATGGAACCAGATCAAAAGGATTTGGATTTGTCTGCTTCAGTTCACCAGAAGAAGCAACTAAAGCTGTCACTGAAATGAACGGTAGAATTATTGTTGCCAAACCTCTGTATGTCGCACTTGCTCAACGCAAAGAGGATCGAAGAGCTCATCTAGCTTCCCAATACATGCAACGTATTACTACCATGAGACAACAGGTTAGTGTTGGGGGTGGGTACCGTGTATTTTGTCATAAGGTCTGTTATTGTGTCAACAGGTATGGTTTAGATTCCCAGCTTATACATTGCCTGTCCATTCTCACTAGTTTTGTCTGGGTCCTTCGGTTTTCTCCCACTGCTAAATACCCCTACATGCAAGCGAATTATTGAAATAAAATTGAACCATATGTTAGACCTGAAATAGTCGAGTAGACGTTCACACTCCCATTTCTCTCTACAATTTTGTTTCCCTGTTAACCGCAGATATAAAAGACAAATCCATTTTGTATTATAAAGCCTCCATGGTTGGAGGGAATGGAGGGGGGACAATTTGACTTATCTTGCCCTTCCATGTAATGTGCTTGTGAAATTTCATACATTCACCATAAAATTAGTATTCAGACAAGCTAGTCTGACTATTTTAAGGGGGATATTTTTAATCTTTAGCCTTTTGCACATAAGTATTAAGGGAATGTTAATCTCTTAGCAAACTACAATATTGTGAAAATTGTATCTCTCAAAGAAATATTCAAAAATGTTTCTTTTACATTCATTACAAAGATATGAATTGTACCATTTTGTATCCACTGTATAGGATGTGGTCGACACATACCAATGATTTCTACTGAACTTTTTTTTTTATCCAATTGAACCCAATCTCATTAAAACACAGAGATCCTATTTCGTTTTGTTTTGGGGGGTTGGATGGCAGAATGGTTAGCACGTGCGTGAAGTATCATAAAGCCTGTCATTGAGTCAACTGGTGTGGTTTCGAATCCCCGGTTGTACGTGACAAGGGGTATGGTCGCCTGTCCAACCTCGTGGGTTTTCTCCTGGTCGTCCGGTTTCCTCCCACTGCTAAAGACCCCTACGCGCAAGCTAATTATTGAAATAAAAAAAAAATAAACTATATGTTAGTCCCGAAATGACCTAGTTTGTGTCGAGTGGATGTTAAACCCCATTTCTCTCTCTCTCTCTCTCTCTCTCGTTTTGTTTTTTTATAGTTCAAAATTTTGTTTTATTTGTCTGCACGTCACTAAGGATCTGGAAGAGTTGTTATATAATCTGCTTTCTCGATGGTGCAAGGGATTAGCCCATGAATCCATCTGTTACGGCGACTTCCTGTAGTGCGATGCACGGAACTTTAGATATCCCACTAGAAACGTCGACGCTGATAGATTAATCAATGTCTGACGTCATAGGGTTAAAAGCCATTCGCACGACCTCTGACGCGACCTTTTACTACAACCGGTCAGATCTTTATGTAGTGTAGGCCATCAAAAGTATTATAAAAACTAAACGTAATGTAGATTTGTATTTAATAAGATTGAACTCAAGCTGAATAATATCTACCATTGATGTTTGGGTGATTAAATCACTGTTTTGCTTTTCTAATCATAATTTTGGTCATTGAAGGGTTTTTAGGGTAATTAATGTGTTCTTTGTGTAAAATTTGTCTTGAGGTAATTTGGTCGGTTATCCAGCTATAATCATCCCTTTCAATTTCAGCAAAATGCTCAGTACAGTCAGATGTTCCAACCAAGTGGAGCCGGTTATTTTGTTCCCCAACTGCCTCAGGCTACTCGTGGATTCTTCACACCAACTCAGATGCCACAAGTTCAAGCTAGTCCAAGATGGCAGGCTCAAGTCAGACAACCTGCACCAGGAGGAGGTGAGAAATAATATAAATATGAAGATGTTCTTGCGAGCAATTTCAGAATGCATTTCCCCTAAAAAAGCTAGTGATTGAGACACTGACTGACAATGGGGTTAGAGTTCGATCCCAGTGTTGCAAAAATGAAATGGGGGTTTAACGTCCTGTTCTGCTTCGACTAGACTAATGAAGACTGGCATACGCCATGCATGTGCTATGAGTGAAATTTGGCCCGGGCAGTGGCACTTATATCAAATTACAACTGCCAAGGGATCTTTCGTGTGCATGCCAATGTATACAAAGGACCTTGTTTTTTCGTCCCATCCGCACGACTCCCAGTGTTGCCCAAAAAAGTTATGGAGGATTTTCTATCTTGGTATTTCGTTGTCTGGTGTAGAAAGAATGGCTTGTAAAGGTACAGTGACTAGTCGTTCGTATCGTACTAGAAAACAAGGGCCCATCCTGTGTAATGTTACTGGTTGCATAAAAGAACCCTTAGCAGCTAGAATTAAAACTTAATTATCCCCAACTGACTGCTGAAACCTACAGATCATGAAACTTTTGTAATAAAGCTAGCTTCAATGAAATTACCTATCAATTAATTATAAAAACTAAGCCGTCTTGTAATTTGTCCAGGGGAAACAACTCCATATAATATACAGTTCCTATGTCAGTTCAGACCACTAAAGAATAGTCCAACACACATTATGGAAATCATTGAATGAAATGTTTTATTTCCCAAATTTTCTTTCAGCAAGCTTCCAAGCTGTTCAAAGCAATCAACTTCGACCAGCTCGCTTCCAGGGTAGTGGACAACAGGGTGTAAGAGCTAACATGAACGCTCGACCTATAACTGGACAAGCTGGTGGTCAGCCAGGTGGACAGAGAATGATGGGTCCAGGTATGCCACGAGGACCCCCAGGGGCTGCCGGTATGGCTGCACCCCAGAGAAGTGCCTACAAATTCAACAATCAAATCAGAAATCCTCAAATGGGTCAACAGGTCATGTCACAGGTAAGGATCATATTGTTTAAATTTTTTATCTGCGTACACAATTCGTATGGTTAGAAAATTAATCCGGTGACAAAAAATATCATGGCATCTGGCAGTCTTTATTATAATATTTACGTTGTGTAATGTGTGTAACAGTCTTTGCCAGGTGCCTTATGTCTAGGTTTGTGTGTGTGCATATCCAGATTTTCTGACGTGGTTCCCCCTTGTCAGTGATGCAGGTTGAGGGCCTGACAAGGACAGCTGTCTGGTTGTTCAGGTTGGATGAAAAACATTGGTGTGCACGCAAAAGATTCCTTGGCAGTTAGAATTTGATATACGAGTAGGCCGTAGTGCTGCTGTCCAGGCAAAATTTCCCTCATAGTACACTGTATGGCATATGCCTGTCTACATTAGACCAGTTCTGAGCAGAACTGTAGGACGATAAACCCCCATGTTATTTGACTTTGACACACTGTATTGTGTATGCCCATCTTTATTTACTCAGTAGGTGCAGAAAATTGGACGTTGAACCCCATTTCATACTTTCCCTCCACCCACCCAGTTATAAATATTTGACAAACAGTCATAAATTTATTGCCATTGTATAAAACTTGATGTTCTATTTCAGCCTGCTGCTTCAGTGGTAATTGCTGGTCAGGAACCATTGACCGCCTCCATGTTGGCTGCTGCTCCACCACAAGAACAGAAACAGATGTTGGGAGAAAGATTATTCCCTCTGATCAATCGTATGCACGCAGATCTAGCTGGTAAAATCACTGGAATGTTGCTGGAAATTGACAACTCAGAATTGTTGCACATGTTGGAATCCCAGGAATCTCTCAAGGGCAAGGTATGAAATCAAAATTTGCTTTGGAGCAGAGAATATGTTGACAATATAATTGGCATTAAAAAATCTTTTTTCGGCATGGTTTCCCCTTGTCAGTGATGCAAGACAGAGGGCCTGATAAGGACAGCTGTCAAGTCGTTCGGATGGGACGAAAAACCAAGGTCCCGTGCACATTGGCCTGCACGTAAAAGATCCCTTGGCAGTTGGAATTCGATATAAGAGTAGGCTGTAGCGCCGCTGCCCGGGCAAAATTTCCCTCATAGCACACTGTATAGCGTATGCCCGCCTTCATTAGGCCGTGTTGAATTGATTCCTTGTTTCTCCTGCCACCACTCTGGCAATCATGTGCGGTAGTGCGGTAAACACAACACAAAGTGGGTTTCAAAACACAAAGTGGTCTGGCATAATACCTATATAGTCTGAGGGTTGTGTACCGTTTTTAATAATATTATAAATAATCTAGTTATATTATTGGTTAGAATAAAAACACAGATAATATTTAATTAAATAAATTTAATAACAAAACTAAAATTTGGTAACAAGTGGCTTCTTTGTTTAACTTTTTAAAAAATGAAATAACCATATTTTGATATAAATTTTCCGTATTCTTGTGTTAAAACACAATGGAAACATTCCTGTTAGACGATATTTGATTCGCTTGTTGAGTTATAGATGGTTTCCATAATATCATCGAACGTGAAAGTGCTGGGAATAACCACCATAGTCAAGTCGAGATAAGTACATTCGCGTACCGGTCGGCCTAATTTATTTATTGATGTTCAAGGAAATAATAGTGGTCCCGTTTGTTCGTTCGTTCGTTAAACTCGAGAAACGAGCGAACGGGGCCACTATTATTTCCTTGAACATCAATAAATTAGGCCGACCGGTACGCGAATTTACCTATGTCCCGGCATAGCTCACCATTTTGTAAGGCGTGCGTTATTTATTACACAAGATATGATTGGGTAATACTTGAATAATAATGACATGTGTTATAATTTTAGCCAATGAAAAAATTGATTATTCAGGTTCGCTGTTGAATATTAGTGATTGTCTTACAGTTTATAATATGCTTTCTCATTAGCCGAAATGACTGCTACACGCGCCATTTTGCGGAATTCATCCAATCATATACAGTGTAACTTATTCCATAGTATGCGGGCCCCTACATGTGTATTATCAACCGGATCCATTCACTTGATTTGATATTTGTTTATTCGGTGCAATGCCTATTTTCTGTCTTGTCCGCAGGTTTATCTTGTAGATTTTTGTTTTGCGTGTAGTGCGGCCCCCTGCACTTATTTAGTTCGTAACGATGAATAAACAACGAGAATTGACTTCTGATGTTTGGTAGAATTTTATTTAGATGTTAACGTAATTTTTTGAATATTTTTTTTTGTGTTAAAAACGTAAGCGCACGATTTTCGGGGTCCTCGACCTAAGCGCGCGGGCAAGGAGAAACAAGGAATCAATTCAACACGGCCTTAGCCCAGGTTAGGAGCGGAACAGTAGGACGTTAAACCCCATTTCATTTCATTAAATATCTTATCTGCTAGCTCTTACAACTTTTTTGCGAGCCCAGAGGTCAGATGGTTGTTTCCTGTTGGCTGAGAAGAAGCTAGTTTAATTGGGAAGAAAAACCAAGGTCACATGAACACTGGCGTTTCGTATAAGAACTCTTCAACAGTTACAATTTCACTAAGAGTCTCGACAGAAGCGCAGCAGTACGGCATAACTAAAAGTAGCTGTCTCTAACTCAATATCATCAAAAGTCTTCGGCATTGAAAACACAAATTATTTGTCTATTTAAATCAACATTGATGTTATCTTACTGGGAAAGGATGGATTTCTGATATCCAATATTTAAGACAAAATAAACATTTACCATTGGTACACGAATCGTGTACCATAATACGTTTCAGCGCCATTGAGACTGGTGTATTTCGCCAAACATAATTGATTTAGATATTAGAGTAAAAATGGAAATGATTGACTGTAAATCAGTTTAGGTCCCAAATATTAGTGATTTAGCTCCTTTAACTTAATACATGGAATTTAACTTAAATCCTTGAGTAATTTTGTTATTTGTTTTCAGGTTGAAGAAGCTGTGGCTGTACTCGTGGCTCATCAAGCCAAAGAGAGTGCTACAAAGAAAGGCCCTGAGTAATCTCCCTTGGAAAGGATTTAGCATTGGATCAGTTGTCACCAGATTCACAGAATTTCTTAGAGTTTTAAAAGGAACTCCGTTTCACCAACATACCCAAAAAAAATTTAAAATAATTCTGAAAAAAAAATAGTTTCACCTGGTTTACAAATCTAAAAAATTAACAAAATTTGTTACTTTAGATGTTTGGTACTTGAAGTTATTTAGAAAAAAAAAAAACAGTAAAATTTTGGATTATCAATAAAAAAAAATATTTACCAAAGTAACGTAGATTTTCTGAAATTGAAATTAAATTGAAAGTGGACTTTGACAAGCAAAGGAATATTTAATATTGTCAAAACTTCTAGTCAAGTAATTGACTTTTCAAAGCGTTCAGTTTGTGTTGGGCAAGTCAAAGTGTCAGCCTTAATTTCATTTTAGTTTCCGAAAATTAATTTTGGGATGAAGATCAAAATTTAAGAACTATTTAACAAAAAAAAGATGGGACAAATCTACAAAACCAATCTTTTCATGGAAAGATAAAAAATACAAATGATTAAAAAAAACTGCAAAATAATTTTTCAATTTGTAGATACTTGTTTATTTACATTCACTTAAAAAAAAAAAAACGCAAAACAAATTGCCAGTTTGTAGGATATTTTTTTTCTTTAGTTTATTAATGGAGAAATGGTTTACTATTGAGGATTATTTTCTTTTAACTTTTATTTTCTTTGTACATTTTTGAAATTCTTTGGTTAAAAAAACACTGTACATCCAATAAAAGAAGCTGTTCAGATTTTTTTGTTTCCTTTTCAAAGGATTGTAAAAATGTTATATTTTAGTTAATGATTTCATGTTAAGAGATCTTGTGATAGAAATTTTAGGATGAAAATGCATTTTAACAATCGAGTGGCAAATTAAGGAATTCCATCTGGAAAAAAATAATTGATTCAAATTTGATCCCCAAAATGGGTGTGGTTGTGATCAACAGATCCCGAGAATGGGTGTGGTTGTGATCAACAGCATCTTATGAGAATGCACACCGGAGATTAAAACTTTTAAATGTGAATGTTTGTAGTCTACAGGGACACATGAGAATTCATACTGGATAAAAACTCTATAAATGTGTTATCAGACATTGTCTTGATTTGAACTTAATGGTCAAGGGGGTGTCTCAGATGTTTTTTTAGTAAATTGTTTTCCTAGAGAAATCAGTCTATGAAAGAAAACAGGGAATTGGGGACGGATAAGTTTCTATGAATTATTTTTATAACAAGGTCTCTTCGAATTCAAATCTGTTTCCATATTATGTGGAAAGTTTCATATTTCTAGTTCCTTTCAACCAGTCTTTAATTTCTCTACAATAAAACTATCATTCTGGATTAAATATATATCTAGTTTGTTGTTATATATTCCCATATTGATATCTGCTCATTTGTAGTCATTTGAATGGAACTAAAGATCCAAGATCCTGTGTACACAACAGGGGGCACATAAAAAAACCCTTGACAGTTGGAATTTGACTGTGAGTAGGTCGTAGTGCCAAGGACTTTGAAAGGGTGGGGAATATAATGCAAATAAAGATTTTTAAGTGGAGTCTTCGCTTATGAAAAAAGACTTGCCCATTCCTGAATAGCTAGCCCATACTCCCATAACTTGGATGGTTCGAGACTATACATTGTCTGCCATATTAATATTAAGACTACCCTGATATCGCAAAGTAGGTCGTACCCTTTAAAAACCGCTACCCCAACCCACGACTAATAACTTGGATGGTTAGCGACAATACCTTGTCTGCCATATCATTATTGTGGAATACAAAACTATACATACTTATGGGGAAATATGAAAGCTCCTTTCCATAAGTATGGTTATAGTTTGGTTTTTTTTATACCCAGTTACTAAATCCCACTAAAAGAATACTATTGTGGAAGCACATTAACAGTTTAGTGGTCTGCCTCCAGTTGAAATTATTTCCCTTGAATATACCTGATAGAAAGTGCAGGGGGAGTACACCAGACATAATTACACAAAACAAATCTACGGAGGTGAAGGCTGTCAGTGATCGGGCTGAATGGAGTCTTTTACTCATTTGAATACCTATTTACACTAAATAGGAAATAATTTTTACCTGCAGTGTGGGTCCTCCTACCTTGGAGAGGAACGGATATAGTATCTTCCTACTTTCTCTTAGAAAAGGAAAACGGAATACCCAACCAGGTTTCTGGGAAAGCCAATTTGACACAGTAGAAATTTTTTTTTGTGAACTCAACTCAAAGGTGAGGCAAAATAAACCAGCTTAAAGGCCCTTTTTTTCTAAGGTGGTTAAACTTGGCTTTTGAATGGGTCTGCTTAAACTAGGTCATTTCGGGACTAACATCTGGTTCAATTTTAATTCAATAATTCGCTTCTGCGTAAGGTTCTTTAGCAATGGATGGAAACCCACGAGGCTGTTAAGGGCACCCTACTTCTTGTCTATGTACAAGCGGTGAATCGAAACCACGACACTTGACTCGATGACAGAGATTTCAGAAAATGTCCACGATGGCGATAAAACCAAATCCAATATGGCAGATCTATTTCGTCATAATGAATAAGAATCCCTAAAAATGGAAAACACCACATGCTTTGTGTTTATCATTGGATATATGTTAATTCTCTTTGAAAGGAGGGGCATTAATTTTACCGCTTCCTGTCACATGGCGAACTCATCCCCCACCCCCAGTCTTTCTACGTAGTATATATGTAGATAGTTTAATTCGGTTTAAAATTGAGATTGATCCTGACTCTGTCTTGTTGCATGCATCTTTCCTGTGGGTGGTAACCATAATACACATAGTAATGGGTTTAACGTCCTACTGTTCTGCTCCGACTGAGCTAATGAACACGGGCATACACCATGCAGTGTGCTATGAGGGAAATTTTGCCCGTACTGCTGTGCTACGGCCTACTCTTATATCCAACTGCCGAGGGATCTTTTACATGCATGCCAGTGTCTGTTGACTTCGGGTTTTCGTCCCAACCGATCAACTAGACAGCTTGCCTTGTTAGATTCTCCGTCCTACACCACTGACAAAGGGAAACCCCGCTGGAAAATCCAGATGAACTCTCTCGGCCAACACCGGGAGCGAACCGCAACCTCCAGGGTAGTGAGCCAGCGCCTTACTCACTTAGCCACCGTGTCTCCCTGTTACTAAGCCACATACACTCACACCAGGGATCAAAACAATGGCCGCAAGCCATAGGTCACCGGCCAGCTAGAGCTCGAAGCACAACACTATCACGAGTGTGATGAAGGCGCGCCAGCGTCCGAGGGGGGTCTGGGGGGGGGGGGGGATCTCCCCCCATGAAAATTTTGAAAATTGACAACCACAAACCCATTTTCCAAGCATTTCAGACCAACGCAGAAGAAGGCAAATTTTTGATTTCCTGATACAATTAGATAACAGAATGACTTAAGAGCACTATCATTAGATGAATTTGAGAATTCTCTTCAGTGTCAAAAACAAAATCCTTTTATTCTCCTTTTTTTTATTTTCTTTTTTTTCTTTTTTCTTTCTCATTTTTCTTTATAGGCTTAGGCCCACTTTTTTTTCATGAGCTTAGGCCCACCTGTCACGGACAGATGGACAGGTGGACCCATGCAGTCCGGCACTGCACTATAGACCACTAAGCCATCCCAACCCATCAATGATTACTTAAAGGGCCAATCCCGATAATATTTTGGAGAATAAAAATGTTTAATTTTGTGTTAAAATCCCTTAAAATCCTCTACATAAGAGCCGAGCAACTAACTCAATATTTCTCATACGTTTTCAAACAATTTAAACCCGTCAGTCTTCATCTGGAAATGGAGACCAGTGTCCAAACTGTATTATACGGTGTCTGGATAAAACCAGACTTTTGTTTTATAAAAATAATGTGTAGGTGAAATTTACCCTTCGTTATGAAGTACAGCACACGGGTCATTCACTGTATAGACTTCTATACGATTATCAGGTCGCCCAACGAAAAAATTGACCAGAAATCTTAAAAGGGTTACGTGTCCGGATAAGCATTTTTGACTTTCACGTCCAAACGGCTCAATATTTTGAGCTGAAATTTTGAGACAAGGTAAATACACCATTTCTCTATATTTGGGTGCTTAAATACGTACTCGGACTTTTATTTTTGAGATTCTGTTCAAATCGGGATAGTCCCTTTAATTAGCAGGGAGTGATTCAGTATCATTGTTAATGGGCGTATGGCTCTATTCATTGGCACCTTAACAATGAAGTGATTTATATTCAATTTTTAAAAAATTATTGTAATTTCTAATGAATTATATTCGGTGAAATACGTGAACAGTTCAATTTGAAAGACAGTAGTTCATGCCTGCTTAGTCCATTTTCTTTTATTATCATTTTGTTTGTGAATCGGCCATTACTAATTACTTCCATATTGTCTTGTATGATATGTTTTTCTTTGTTCATTACAAATGGTGCCCGAAACTATAGAATACACGACTTGTATACTAACTTTAAAATGCTTATTGTATATTTAATATTGGATATTAGGACATATATTTTCACAGTAGGCCTATGATAACAACACCAAATCGAAATGGGCTACTATTGAATATTATGGAAAATGTTGATTTAGAGGTTTGGCTTCTTTAAGTTGACTATTATATTCACATTGAAATTTTTCATTTAATATTTTCAGCGGATGGGGCACTTGATACCATGAATGTTAACAACTTCAAATCTGGTGTTGGAAACGTTTTCATTAAGAATCTGGATAAGAGTATCGATAACAAAGCTCTGTACCGTACATTTTCTGCTTTTGGAAACATCATTTTTTGTAAGGTGAGCTAGCAAACCCATCATGAGAAATCTTATATTATCATTGCTGAATGAAGTGATGAGAAACCCAAGGTCTGAGCCTGGGTCGTCGATCAGTCCTGTTTTCCACTGAACCACCGTGTTTCAAGCCGAAAGAAAAGGCATGGAATGACTTCAAACCCCACGTCCATTGACCTCTGCTTCCTTCATAAAGATCATATAAGCATGTGTCCACCAATATTTTCTAATGTTTGAACTGCACATGAGTTTTTTTGTAGACGTTTTATGGTTCATATGAGCCGAGTGCAGATTAGAAAGCCAGGAGATCCACATGGAGGTAAAATTTCAATCAATTTGAATGTTTTCTTCAGAGCGCCGCTGGGGGGTTGGATGGCCGAATGGTTAGCATGTGCGCTGTATCATAAGGCCTGTCATTGAGTCAACTGGCGTGGTTTCGAAATCCCGGTTATACGGGACAAGGAGTAGGCTCGCCTGTCCAACCTCGTGGGTTTTCTCCGGGTCCTCCGGTTTCCTCCCACTGCTAAAGACCCCTACGCGCAAGCGAATTATTGAAATAAAATTAAACCATATGTTTGTCCCGAAATGACCTAGTTTGTGTCGAGTGGACGTTAAACCCCATTTCTCTCTCTCTCTCTCTCTCTCTCTCTCAGAGCGCCGCCAGCCAACACCGCTCCAAAGTTTATGGCTTCAAAGGTTATGGCTTTGTTCATTTTGAAACTGAAGAAGCGGCTAAACAGGCTATTGAGAAAGTCAATGGTATGGTGTTAAAGGGCAAGAAAGTATATGTTGGAAAATTCATACCCCAGCCTAAGCGTTTAGCAATGATTGATGACAGAGCTAAAAAATACAATAATGTGTACATCAAAAACTTTGGTGTGGAGTATAATGATGACAAGCTGAAAGTAGAGATGGAAAAATTCGGAAAGGTCATCAGTGCAAAGGTAAAGTATGATTTTGATTCTGGTAGTTAGAAGTTGGATTTTATAGTTCAATGTTTGCCATGTAATTAAAAGTATTTTTCATGACCTAAGTACCATAAACTCATTTTGGTATTTTTGAAAATTATCATTTTCAATTGAAATTAGGAACCATATATTTTTTGAACCCAGTATGATTTTATTTTTTACCATTTTAATATTTTTATAGGTGATGACAGATAAACAGAATCTATCAAGAGGCTTCGGTTTTGTCAGCTTTGAAGATCCAGAAACTGCTGAAAAGGTAAATTGGATTACATATTGATATAAATAGCCATTTTTTTTATTATACGTCCCCATTCATAATGCGGACGTATTATTTCATCAGAATTTACCATGGTATGCCTGCTGGACTGACTTGCTTTGTCTTTGAGATTTAACTAAGTAAAAACAGATCCTGTTAGTAAGACACTACCCTTAAAATACATTGGCAACCATAATCAGTATTTGTATCAGATGGATGATGAAACATTTAAACTGTTTCGTAAGTTTGACATCTTTGGTCTCGCTTTCAAAATTCTCCGACTCACAATTGCCTTCTAATCAATGCTAAAAATGAATTTGTTCTGA